TATATACATACACACACACATATATATATATATATATATAATATATGCTGCGTAGCAAACCCACAGTCCTCCAAAAATATCCCAAAGCCCTAAACATCCCTTCTTCGTTGATGACGGGGACTTCGCGGCAGGGCCGCTGTGAGAGACAACCAAATCTATAACACAATCCAAGTGATTTACACTGTAGCACTGTCACATACACACATATACCCTGGTGAGTGTGTGTGATACATACATACACATACCTTGGTGAGTGTGTGTGAAACATACACACACATAGCTGGGTGAGTATGTGTGTTACATACACACACATAGCTTTGTGAGTGAGTGTGTTACATACACCCACATAGCTTAGTGAGTGAGCGTGTTACATACCTTGGTGAGGGTGTGTGGAGGGATGTCGTGTGGTCCGAACTGTTTGGCCCATGTGGCGTAGGTTGAGTACATCTGCGCTGCATTGGCTACGCTGAAGTCTCTTGCGCGCACAAACCGTGCTAAGTCGTCGTTACGTGTGGCGGGTGTGATGTGTGGCACCACCAGTTTATGTGCACGTAAGTGGTTTACGCTCTGGATGGATAGAGGAATAGGCAAGTAAGGTAGATGCGTGATTGGATGGGTAGAGGAATAGGCAAGTAAGGTAAATGCGTGATTGGATGGGTGTGTGCAAGTGAAGGACAGGCGTAATCAGCGCGTCTAGGATTGTAGCCATAGTAGTCTTGTGATGTGGTTTGTATGTGCATTTGCCATTGTTACTGCTGATAGGCGTACTCTCTGGTGTGTTACATAATCGATCAGCGCCACAATACGAAGCCGTTGTGACACATGTGCGAATGTCAATGTCAATATCACAGTGTCAATGTCAATGTCACAGTGTCAATGTCAGTGTCAGTGTCCATGGTAGTAATCCACAAACAGTACAGTCAAATGGCGAACGTCATATCACAGCATTTGGCATAGACGCACATCTAGACGACTCAATCCCCTCAGACAACACACAACATACAACTCTCAGCAGACCACAGCGCATGATGCAGCAGCACAAGTGTCACGTGTCACATGTCAGGAGGAGCCATCGCTCAATTCAACAGCATGTGAGGCAACCCTAAACCATACACAAACCCTAGAACTCATATGCCGGTAATAGAAAACACTCCGAATATCTGGCACGTCACGAGGCACCGGTGGTCATGTCTTTTTTTCTAAAGCCTACACCCTAGAGCCTAAACCCTAAACCTTACCTGGGCCATTTTAATGGTCTCTAATTCTTGCGGAGACCAATCTTCCTCAATCTCAAAGAATTCATCCGAGTCATCTGAGAGGTCGTCTGATACATTGATCTTACCTTCGGGTACGTTACTATGGCAACAAAGCCATGACAAGCCATGACAGGGTGTGAGTATGTTACTATGGCAACAAAGCCATGACAAGCCATGACAGGGTGTGAGTATGTTACTATGGCAACAAAGCCATGACAAGCCATGACAGGGTGTGAGTATGTTACTATGGCAACAAAGCCATGACAAGCCATGACAGGGTGTGAGTATGTTACTATGGCAACAAAGCCATGACAAGCCATGACAGGGTGTGAGTATGTTACTATGGCTACAAAGCCATGACAAGCCATGACAGGGTGTGAGACAGATGTGATAGGACGGCTACACTGTAGACCCCTCTCATTCGCACATAGCCATCCCAACGCCAACGGTCCGTTCAAGCTAGCTCTGGATCAAATGGTGCTATTATAAACTATATCCAGGTATTGCATTTAAACTTATTTTAACATTCATATGCAACTAAAATGCATTTCAACATAAAAGCTTAACTGAAACACATTTTAACATACAAAGTTAACTTAAACACATTTTGACATACACTTTTGCCTTCGACACTTTTGAACATACACAAACAAATAAAATACCTAGAACAACTAAAATACCTAAAACACTAAAATACCTAAAACAACTAAAATTCATCAACCTAAAGAAGACTCAGATGAACAGCTATCCATGCAATGCACACACAACATGTGACTAGACATAACTCAAGACTAAACCAACACAACATGTGACTAGACATGACTCAAGACAAACCCAACACAACATGTGACTAGTCAAGACTCAAAACTAAACCAACACAACATGTGGATAGACATGACTCAAGACAAACCCAACACAACATGTGACTAGTCATGTCTCAAAACTAAACCAACACAACATGTGACTAGACATGTCTCAAGACTAACCCAACACTCACCTACCACATCGCAAACGGCGGGTGGAGGGGTGGTGCTACTAGTGACGTATAGTGCCATGCACAAGAACGACTGTACACTACATGATCAATCACCCCGTGCCATTGCAATAACAAGTGTCTGGACGGCATAGACCAATGCCACTCCTCTCATACCTAATGACTTATGCATGTCCTCTTATTCCTAATGACAGGTGCATGTCCTCTTTTTCCTAATGACAGGTGTATGCCAGGTGTTCTCATACCTTGAGGTGCCGTTGTCGGGTGGCTGTGTGGAGTGTGGCTGTGACAGGTCGTCTGTGTTGTCCGTGTGGATGTACGCCCCTTCGCTTGCCGTTTTGCGAATCACCTGTTGTGTTTAGTTGTGTTTAGTTATGTTTAGTTGTTGTTATGTTATGTTGTGATATGTTATGTTATGTTATGTTATGTTGTGTTGTGTTGTGTTGTGTTGTGTTGTGTTATGTTGTGTAGTGTTTAGTTGTGTACAGTTGTGCTGTGCAATGGTTTGTTTTTGTTGTTGTGTAGTGTTTAGTTGTGTTTAGTTATGTTAAGATGTTGTCATGTTGTGATATGTTATGTTATGTTATGTTGTGTTGTGTTGTGTTGTGTTTTGTTGTGTTGTGCTGTGTTGTGTTTCGTTGTGTTTCGTTGTGTTTAGTTGTACTGTGCCATGTTTTGTTTTGTTGTTGTGTTGTGTTTAGTTGTGCTGTGCCATGCTTTATTTTTGTTGTTGTGTTGTGTTTAGTTGTGTTTAGTTATGTTGGGTTGTTATGTTGTGATATGTTATGTTGTGTTGTGTTGTGTTGTGTTGTGTTGTGTTGTGTTTAGTTGTGTAGTGTTGTGTAGTGTAGTGTTGTGTTGTGTTGTGTTGTGTTTGTGTTGTGTTGTGTTGTGTTGTGTAGTGTTGTGTTGTGTTGTGTGGTGTTGTGTTGTGTTCTGTTGTGTTACGTTGTTTTCTGTTATGTTATATTTTGTTGTGTGTTGTATTGCGATGGTTGTGCATAACCCATGGTCTCCCCTAACACACCACTAACTCCCAATCATTAACACACACCCATTACTCGTACCACAGGAACTATCGTCACCTCTCCCTACCCTCCCTCACACCCCCACCCCCACGCACTACACCCTAGCCGCCACCCTAGCCATTCACTCCCCACAGGCGGTTGCCATGACAACCCACCCGTTTCTGGCCCAGGGTGCGCCTGGCCTCTCTCTGCTGCGTCACATGACTCTTGGTCAGCAGTTGCAGAAAGTGCCCCGACCGTTCCATGTCGTCGATGTCACTGAGCAGTGCCTTGAGTGTGCGTTCAGCCCCTCGGCGCTTCTGCTGTGTGCGGTCTAACTTGTGCTGCACTTCGGTCTGATACGCTCGTAGTAGATCGGTAAAGCCACGGAGAGACTCACGCATGGAGAACACTGGGGTGGGTGTGGGGGGGGGGGGGGAGGAATACGCTTTGAACGGGTGGGCTATGAATAGAACACTAGGCGAACTAGTGGGCTATAAATAGAACACTAAGCGAACTTGTGGGCTATAAATCGAACAGTAACGGAACACTGATCGAACTAGTGGGCTATGAATAGAACACTAACGGAACACTAATTGAACTAGTGGGCTATAGATAGAACACTAATGGAACACTGATCGAACTAGTGAATTATATATATTCAGTGGTATAAAAAAATAGGCCAGTGGGATTCACCGGCGACAGACGTTCTTGCAGTATCCGGGTTTAGTAGTATAGTAGTATAGTTGTATAGTAGTATAGTAATGTAAAAGTATAGTAGTATAGTAATGTAGTAGTATAGTAGTATAGTAGTATAGTAGTATAGTAGTAGTATAGTAGTATAGTAGTATAGTAGTACAGTAGTATAGTAGTATAGTAGTATAGTAGTATAGTAATGTAAAAGTATATAAGTGTAGTAGTATAGTAATGTAAAAGTATATAAGTGTAGTAGTATAGTAGTATAGTAATGTAGTAGTATAGTAGTATAGTAGTATAGTAATGTAAAAGTATATTAGTATAGTAGTATATTAGTATAGTAGTATAGTAGTATAGTAATGTAGTAGTATAGTAGTATAGCAGTATAGTAGTATAGTAGTATAGTAGTATAGTAATGTAGTAGTATAGTAATTTAGTAGTATAGTAGTATAGCTGTATAGTAGTATAGTAGTATAGTAATGTAGTAGTATAGTAGTATAGTAATGTAGTAGTATAGTAGTATAGTAATGTAGTAGTATAGTAGTATAGTAATGTAAAAGTATAGTAGTGTAGTAGTATAGTAGTATAGTAGTATAGTAATGTAGTAGTATAGTAGTATAGTAGTGTAGTAGTATAGTAATGTAAAAGTATATTAGTATAGTAGTATAGTAGTATAGTAAAGTAAAGTATAGTAGTGTAGTAGTATAGTAATGTAGTAGTATAGTAGTATAGTAGTATAGTAGTATATTAATGTAGTAGTATAGTAGTGTAGCAGTATAGTAGTATAGTAATGTAGTAGTATAGTAGTATATTAATGTAGTAGTATAGTAGTGTAGCAGTATAGTAGTATAGTAATGTAGTAGTATAGTAGTATAGTAGTATAGTAGTATAGTAGTATAGTAGTATAGTAGTATAGTAATGTAAAAGTATAGTAGTATAATAATGTAGTAGTAAAGTAGTATAGTAGTAGTATAGTAGTATAGTAATGTAGTATTATAGTAGTATAGTAGTATAGTAGTATAGTAATGTAGTAGTATAGTAGTATAGTAGTATAGTAGTATAGTAATGTAGTAGTATAGTAGTAGTATAGTAGTATAGTAGTATAGTAGTATAGTAATGTAGTAGTATAGTAGTATAGCAGTATAGTAGTATAGTAGTATAGTAGTATAGTAATGTAGTAGTATAGTAGAATAGTAGAATAGTAGTATAGTAGTATAGCAGTATAGTGGTATAGTAGTATAGCATTATAGTGGTATAGTAGTATAGTAGTATAGTGTAGTACACACACACACACACAGACACCACTCACTGCAGAGGTCCATCTCTTGGCAGTGCATTTTCGTCAAAATCTTCTGCCGCTCTCCTGCGAATGGAATGGAATTGTTACATTCATGAGCACTTGAATAGTAAGAGGTTGTCGAACTTCAGGGTTTCAAGTTTCAAGGTATATGGGCAGTTTTAGAGTTTTAGGGTATATGAGCAGTTTTAGGGTTTAGGCAGTTTTAGGGATTTAAGTTTTAGGTTTTAGGGTATTTGTGTTTCATTTAGAAGGCTATGGTATATGAAGGGTTTTAGGTTTTAGGATTTTAGGGTACATGAGGAGTTTTTGGGTTTTAGAGTTTATTTTAGGGTATATGAACAGTTTTATGGTTTTAGGATTTTAGGGTATGTGAGCAGTTTTAAGGTTTTAGGGTTTTGGGGTATATTAGCAGCGGTATAAAGTGATCAACAGCTGAGCTGCAGCCGTGGCACCACACTGTGACACCTCACTTCTAAAGAGGTGTCGTGGGTGTGGCTGCTGTGTGTGTTCAGCTTAGTGCATTTAGACATGCTATGCAACTGTATAACATATAGTGTGTATCATGGACAGACCTACAACCACACTTCCATACCACTAAAAAAAACACACAACGCACACTATACAACACAACACAACACAACACACAACACAACACAACTTAACGTCACCTGTGGTCTCGGCTGCAGTGTAGTCCTCTTCCACCGCCTCCATTGCCACCAGCACATTACCTCTGCCCATGCGATGCAGTTTAAGGATATATTTAGGATGATGTGTGTGGTATTGTGTTTTAATGTGTGCAGTGTTGTGTTTCAATGTGTGTGGTGTTGTGTTTTAGAATGTGTGGTGTTGTGTATTAATGTGTGTGGTGTTCTGTTTATATGAGTGTGGTGTTGTGTTTTAATGAGTGTGGTGTAGTGTTATGATCAATTGTGTGACTATATTTCATGTGTTATAGTATGCTTGAGAGAATGACACACATAAATATCACATACTATTAACAAAACTAAGTCATGAAGGCCTAAAGATGGGTCGGCCTAAGACCTCCCTAATATAGGACTAACGATGGATTGGTCTAAGACCTCCCCAATATAGACCTAAAGATGGATCGGCCGAAGACCTTCCTAATATGGGCCTAAAATGGGTCGGCCTAAGACCTCCCCAATATTGATTGGCCTAAAGATGGACATCCTTATTTCCTTATTTCCCTTTAGTATACCAAATTTGGGTGCCCTCCCAGCACCGATTTTATGTCAATAACTGGACATCACACACAACTCAAAACTACCACCCAACAACACTATCACTCCTACAACCACACTACAATAGTGGCACTCAAAACAACTACCACACTACAACACTATCACTCATACTACCACCCAGCAACACTATCACTCCTACAACCACACTACAATAGTGGCACTCAAAACAACTACCACACTACAACACTATCACTCATACTACCACACTACAACACTATCACTCATATTGCCACACTACAACACTATCACTCAAATTACCACACTACAACAGTGGTACCCAAAACAACTACCACAGTACAACGCTAGCACTCATGTCAAACAAATAAGATGTGTGAGTGTGTGTCATGCATGTGTGAGTATTTGTCATGAGTGTGTGAGTGTGTGTCATGAGTGTGTGGGTGTATGTCATGAGTGTGTGAATGTGTGTCATGCGTGTGTGAGTGTGTGTTATGCGTGTGTGAGTGTGTGTCATGAGTGTGTGAGTGTGTGTCATGCGTGTGTGAGTGTGTGTCATGCGTGTGTGAGTGTGTGTTATGCGTGTGTGAGTGTGTGTCATGAGTGTGTGAGCGTGTGTCATGAGTGTGTGTCATGAGTGTGTGAGTGTGTGTCATGCGTATGTGAGTGTGTGTCAAGCGTGTGTACGTGTGTGTCAAGCGTGTGTGCGTGTGTTGTGATACCTGCGTTGAATTAGTGTCTCCATGAAGTCGTGGAGTAGAGTGGTGACTGTGGGCATGGTAGCCACTCGATGCAGTGCACTCGGAGACAACCTGAAAAAGAGGACAGGACTATATTTGAGAAAGGACAGGGCAGATAACATACCAATGGAAATAAGAGACAACTTGAAAAAGAGGGCAAGACTATATGTGAGAAAGGACAGGGCACAAAACAAACCAATGGAAATAAGAGACGACTTGAAAAAGAGAGCAAGACTATATGTGAGAAAGGACAGGGCACATAACAAACCAATGGAAATAAGAGACAACCTGAAAAAGAGGACAGGAATATATGTGAGAAAGAACAGGGCACATAAAAAACCAATGGAAATAAGAGACAAACTGAAAAAGAGGACAGGACTATTTGTGAGAAAAGACAGGGTACATAACCAATGGTAACAGGAATATGAGTTATGCAGCGACCAATGCGTGACTAACAGTGATCAGTAAGGACATATGTACCAGACACAAAGCAACGCACACTTGTACATGGCACGTACATACACATACACATACACATGCACATGCACATAGAGATAGACACAGACACAGACATAGACATACATATACATATACACATACATATACACATACAAATACAATAACACATACATATACACATTCACATACATATACACATACACATACACATACACATACACATACACATACACATACACATACACATACACATACACATACACATACACATACACATACACATACACAAACACATACACGTAGGCTGAAGCAGTAGCGTGCACGCACACTGACCAATCATGACCTACACCTCAGATATAGAGAGCAGGTTATCTGAGAATATAACAACACGCGGTCGCTAAGACGCGATACAAAGTGGAAATCCTACTGACACTCAGACCATCAAACACACACGGCAAGTGCCCTGCAGAACATCACATATCAGCCAGCACATAGCACCTCAACATCCCCTCTGTCCTAAAACAAAGTGGAACAACTGTCTGCCCTAAAGTAAAGGGGGACAACTGTCGGTCCCAAAATAAATCGGAACAACTGTCTGTCCTAAAATAACGTGCGACAACTTTCTGCCCTGTCCATTTGAAACCCACTTCCACTCGTCACCAACATTGCCACGCCAGTTGACAGATCCCTCCTGGCGTTGCCATGGTTACCTCTGGTTATAAGCGCTCTCTTCCATCCCCATGTCATCGTCCCCTTCGAGCGATGACGTCGGCGACAACTCCACAGGATATAACATCTGCGCCTGAGCAAACGCAACGATCCATTTCTGCCGCTCTGCCGTCTGTAAGCAAACATATGTACGTGACAAACAGATACACATGTCAAAAAACAAACAAGAAAAAGCGTCAAACAAACAAACAAACAAACAAACAAACAATATATATATATATATATAAATGCGTGTGTATGTGTGGTGGTATGGATTGCAAAACATAGTAGTATGGTCCTACTTTGCACTGTCCAGGAATTTTGAAGCTGTTGCCAACAGTCTACAAATAGTTATACTGATCACTTATGACAACAGTCTATAAATAGACATAAAAATCTTATGACAACAGTCTATAAATAGACATAAAAAGCTTATGACAGCAGTCAATATATAGACATTAAAAAGCTTATGACAACAGTCTATAAGTAGACATAAAAAGCTTGTGACAACAGTCTACAAATAGACATAAAAAGCTTATAACAACAGTCAATAAATAGACATAAAAATGCTATGACAACAGTTGGTACATATCAATACGTTTCATCTTCATCCTCGTGCACATAGATGTACAACCTCAACCGACACCGTTCCCCACTGACACATCGATTAAAACCCTAAAAACCCTACAGCTAACTCCCCGATTAAAACCTTGAAACCCCTAAAACCAACTCACCGTCTTCACTTTCAGTTGTTTCAGTTTGTTTTGCAGTCGAATGGAGAACGTCGTGGGCTCGGCTGACTGTGAACTCGTCTGAAGACAAACAGAGTAACCGTTGTCAAGGAGACGTGACAGCCAATGGGAATGTCTTATCAATAAAAGGGATGTGTACGTGCACGTGACAAGACGCATTTAAAGAAAGGGATGTGACCGTCTGGGAGGGCGGGCGTAGGTGGGTTGGGGTTTTTAGGGTTTAGGGTTTCACTACGAACTTCGTGGCCCACACAGAAACCCCTCACCGCAACCAGGGCAAAGGTTAGATCGGAAATGTCCTGACCTAAACCAGTCCACACCTTACGTTGGTAGCATCAACCATGAAGACGGCCAGCAGCATGATTTGTATACAAACAATAGGTAATAGGTAAACATAGGGAATAGTATAATAGGCAATAGATAAACATAGGCAATAGTACAATAGGTAATAATATATTAGGTAATAGGTAAACATAGGTAATAGGTAAACATAGGTAATATTATAATAGGTTATAGGCAAACATAGGCAATAGTAGAATAGGTAATAGGAAAACATAAGTAATGGTATAATAGTAGGTGAACACAGGTAATAGTATAATAGGTAAACATAGGTAATAGTATAATAGGTAATAGGTAAACATAGGTAATAGTAAAAATAGGTAATAGTATAATAGGTAATAGGTAAACATAGGTAAAAGTATAATAGGAAAACATAGGTAATAGTATAATAGGTAAACGTAGGAGATGTGGTACATAGTACACTAACAGACCACAGCAGACGAACAGACTATGAACAACCAACAGGGCAGCCGATTACTGAGATGTAGGCACACCGAACAATGCGGGGAAGGAGTCTCTTGCTTGTCTAGGGCTTAGGGTTTAGGGTTCTAAACCAATAAACCTTAAAACATTCCCACCCGCCACTCTCTGGTGCCACATGTCACAAATGACAGATACGACACGCATATGAAACTGTCAAGGGAAAACCTAAAACCCAACAACAGCACTACAGCAGATACCCTAACCCTAAAATCCTAAACCCCAACAGGAGCACTTCAGCAGATATCGCGAAGACCAGATATGACATGTGAACACATTCACCACAGGACACACACACACACACAAACACACACAGCTACTACAGCACACTCAACCACCACACCCACAACCAGACATTCAGCAATCATGCCATTGGTTACGTGAAAAATACATACACAGCCATACCACAGGGTTTTAGGGTTTGGGATTTTTAGGGTTGAGATACATATACAGCCGAGGTTGTGAAGGCACATACCACCAACACCAGATGTGAGGCGTGCACACATGCTCTGGGATGCACTTGGCTATTGCGGCTGTCGGCTTTATTGCGGAACACACGCAGATAACCGTCCTTCAGCACGTAGTAGCACCTCTGTAAGAAACACAAAGCCAGCAACACACATGTGAGTGTCAATCAACACTTCATCACACATCCGTCTATTGTTGGCAATTGGCTCCAATAACGGACAAGAAGGAATGTATTATATATATATACCTATATATATATATATATATACATATATATATATATATATATATATATATATATATATACACACA